AGCTAAAACACCAACAATATGAAATATGATTATTTGGGTGAAACAACTTGGTGACAAAGGTCAGTGCAATAAATTACAACATTTAAACTAATCAGACTCTAAATTACTGTTAAAATGTGTCACTGTAACACAGGGGGGGTCGAATTCACAAGGGGGCGAAAGTTCCACACTTAGTCCAGATCAAGAGACAATTTCTGTTAATATTTATTAAAACAAAATCAAATTATTCTTATTATACTCATTTTATTTTCCAAATTATGGTTTATGTTGCATTTAGAGCCCACAAAACCTGACAAAGAGATTAAATTTAAGAAGAACCCATTGTTAGCATTCATTATTCAATGTTTGACAAAATGAAAAGAAAATACAGAAAAATAAAACTAAAGCTAATTCTCTTTCCACACTAAAATCAAAGAATACTAAAAACTTCAAACTTAATTTTATTAATATTTGCCTCATTAGTCTTTACAGACAACAGGAAGTGAAGTTTAACTTCAGATCCTGTGGACCATCACATTGTGTTATTTTAAAATGAACACTTTACACATTCATTCCTCTCTGCTTTGGCTGTAATTACACAACGTTTTTTTAAAGGGTTTTAAGAAAAAAGTACATATTGTTATTAAATACATTTTGAAATTTATCAAAAAAATGCTTTGGTTAAAAATATTTAAAGTTTTGTTTCTTTTTTATTTTATCATGACAAAAAATAAAACCATAAGCAGGTCAGATGATCTGAGCTGTTTCTTGTGTGAATCTCTTACAGACAGTTGCTTCACTCTGTGTTTTCCTTCAGGAAAAAAAGTTTGGCAATTTTCTCTCTGAGAATCATCTTTCACTTTCATCGCCTATTTTCCAGTACTTATTTTTGCTGTATTTTTGACATAGTTTCCATCACATTCTGCATAAATAAAATCCATTTTCTTTCACGTGTTTAGATATTTGTTAGTGGCGGCGGCACGCAGGACACGCTGCTGTGTGTTTGATTGGCAGCCGCTGCYTCTTTGCCTTTTTCTCTTCTCTCCTCCTCCTTCTGCAMAGAAGGCAGAGAGAAATAAGGAGGCATTTTCTYAGGGTTGAAAATTGCAGCCAATAAAAAACATCTGTCGATTGTTTCCCTTTCTTTTGTTTTTTTCTTCTTTTTTGTCTTGTCATAATTTGATCAGTGGAACGCAGACTTTGTTTCAACTTGCGCGATGCATGGACAAGAGTGAAAAATGCAAGACAGTCCTACACAGTTTYCCTGGGGGTAAATTACCTGCTTATTATAGAGAGGAGCTGCTTCAGCGGCTCTCTTCCTGCACGTGCACGCAGCGTGTTCACCGAGGGACAGCGCAGGAGTGAGCTCTGCGGGCTCGCACGTGTGTTTGGTGAAGGGAGGGGGTGTGAGGGCAATATTATTATTAATAATATTAACACTGTTGCCATTAAAGTTGTATTCACTTAATAAGAAGTGCAACCAAGGGTGACAGATGGAGCATAACAAAAAAAGGTGGGTTCAACAGGGGCAATTGGTCTGGAGGGAAAAGGGCAGGTGCTCAAGCACCACCTGACATCTATCTGTGCACGTCCCTGCTTCTAAACCTAACTAGTAGAGCGCAGTAGAACTGAAAAAAATGAGGACCAGGAAAATGTCCTCACTTCCCAAAAATGACCTTACTTGGGTCCAGGTTTGGTGGCGCTGGTGCATGATAGCCCCACCTCTGTCAGTGTGTCACAGGGCAACTGTGGCTACAATGTAGCTAACCATCATCAGTGTGTGAATGTGTGTATGAATGGGTGAATGTCTGTAAGTGTAAAGTGCTTTGGGGTCCAGAGGAACTTGATAAAGTGCTATATAATTTCAGTCATTTATTATAATGAAGCATCTTCAAAGTGTGAAAGCTATCATTTTTCTAACCTGGTCAGCCAGTGATGTACTGAGCATGCTCATTAGCTCCCTCTCAGCTGTTAGTCGCCACYTCTGCTCCCAGTTGATTTTCCGCAATCGTTCCAAGTAGAGCAAAATGACACCTGCAGTAAAAACAGGAGTTTTATAGAGACTGATGCTACTTCCCATGAAATTAAAGTGTCTTCAGCAGAAAGAACCTTTGGCTCCAGTGTTTCTTTGATTATATGTGACACCAGCCAGTTTTGTGAACAAATTCTCAGTATGTGGCAGACTGGCATTCTACTGTGAAACATTTCAATCAATCAATCAATCAATCAATCAATCAATCAATCAATCAATCAATCAATCAATCAATCAATCAATCAATCAATCAATCAATCAATCAATCNCAATCAATCAATCAATCAATCAATCAATCAATCAATCAATCAATCAATCAATCAATCAATCAATCAATCAATCAATCAATTAATCAGGCACATATTAAAACAACAGTGCTGACCGAAGTGCTGCATAAACATACAACCTAGGGCTGGGCAATATGGCCTAAAAAAATTCCCATTGTTTTCATCCCAAATTCGATTTTCGATTTTAATCGATTTGCATTGTTCCTTTGCTTTCTTAAACACAAATTACAGAAAATATTTTTTAAAACTCTCTTTTATTTGAACCATCCCTTCTGGGAGTTGACCTTAATTCAAAGTGCAACAAAAATTCAAGCTATAAATCATGCTTGTAAAACAAGATGGCAGGTCCCGCCATTGTAAACAATGAAAATATAAATAAAATATGTGCAGCTTCAAGTAAACACAATAAGTTAGTTTGAAAATTACTGTAAACAAAATTAACAGTCCTGTTWAAAACATACATTCAAGCAAAGTCAGTAAGTACATTCTTGATGGCTTTTTTTCCCCACACATTTTTCGCAAGGAAGACAAGCCTGTCTACTGCATCTTCATGCATGTCCTGTGGCTTAAACAGAAAATACAAATTACAGAAAATAAACTACAGACCTCTGAACTACGGAAGTCCTAAAGAGTGTACTCGAGGGGGGGAATCCARATTTCCCCAAATTTAAATTGTTATACACAGAAAATTCGAATTAATCGATAAAATTGATTTATCACCCAGCCCTAATACAACCTAATTAAAAGCATGAGTAAAATAAGACTAAATCAGAAAAAATACCTACTCCAAATTCCTCATATAACTCAAACTGAACTTAAAATAAAAGCTAGTTTATAAAAGCGAGTTTAAAAAGCAAAAAGCTGAGTACCTGTGTTGAAACCTCTTCCCAGCGCTGGCCATGGTTTGTGGTTCTTCCATAGGTTTCCCAGGTACCAGTCACTCTGGTTTTCCACCAGACCGATCACCTGCTTCTCTGYAAAAAAAAAAACAGGCCATCAGTCAATCTGTTGTCAAGACATTTTTACATGTTTAWAGGGCTTTTGCTAGTTTATTTATAACCAATAGTCTGACATATTTTTAAAATGGGTGCTGATCAGTTTATTCCTTCACTAAAATCATATATACAGTGGTATGTGAAAGTTTGGGCACCCTTGTTAATTTTCCTGATTTACCCTTATCTTCATAAATTATTGATCACTGTGTTTGTCCCCTATATGATATATTTAACTGATTTTTTATCCTAACAATCAATGTAATGTACAATTGTAGCCACAGCTGCCCTGAGGCGCACTGACAGAGGCGAGGCTGCCATACACAGGCGCCACCGGACCCTCTGACCARCATCAGRAGGCAAGGCGGGTAAGGTGTCTTGCCCAAGGACACAACGACTGAGTCGACTGGACGGGAATCGAACCGGCAACCTTCCGGTTCCAGGATGACTCCCCTAACCACTCTACCACAGCCCCCTGGTAGTGTCACTCAAGGCAAACAGGTCCTAGGTAAAGGATCAGACAAAGCGCAGCCCCTCTCTCTGGCCTGCCATCTTATCGTGATGGAGAGGTTTGAGTGTCCCAATGATCCTGGGAGCTGGAGAAGAATCATGTAACCAATTAGGTAATGGTCAGCATGAGTGTAAAGAGCTTTGTGGAAAGGCACCATCAATGAATAAAAGTGAATATAAGTTACATATTTAGTCCCATTCAGCAAAGAAGACCCAGAACTGTAGGACAGCTAGAATCCTACATCAGATAAGAATAGAAAAATCACACAAAAATCTCCAGAACTGGTCTTCTTCTTTACAGACTCTTGTTTGCAGAGAGAACACAGAAGGATTCAGTTAAAAAAAAACATGAACCTGTCTTGTCTTTTTAATGTTTTTTACTACCACATATAAAATGACCTAATTTTGTTCCACAAAAATATACAGTTTCTTACTTTTAACATTTGATCTGGTAACTATGTTTTATTGCGTATAAAGTATGGGTTCATGAGATTTTCACATTTCATTCTGTTTTTATTTTACTTACACAGCATCACAACTTTTTTGTGATTTCACTTAATATGTTTGAATAAGTTTATGGACGTACTCTAAACTAGATTTCCACTTTATGGTGAAATCTTTACACACAGAATATAAACAATATGAAATAAAGATAATTGACTCACCGCTAAACTTTTTGAAAATGCCCCAGAGCTCGGCAATATCAGTTGCAAAGGTGATGTCTGTATCCAGGACAATAACCTTTGACAGGTTGGAGGGCAAAGCTTTGGTTAGCGTCAGCTTCATCAAGCCATAAATACCTGAGTAATGCTTGTTGGGAATCCAGGAAACCTCAGACTGAAATGAAAATCCGACAAACATGGTTTGAGTTTGTAATTGGTTTGAAACAACCAGCATCAGAGAGTTCATTATTCATAAAAAATATTACAAACATGGCTAAACACAAAGATGCTTTCTGCATATTTTTGGTGCTGGAGATTTTTTAAAATAAATGCAAACAGTGTTTTAAATTGATTCTCTCAATTCAGAGTAATTGAATTTGCATAAGTGCATCATCTGCAGATATACTTGGCTTAGAGTCACGGCTCCTTTTCTCCACTTTAATGTGAGTCGATGAAAAGCAAAAAGAGGCTGCAGGTTAAAGCATCTGACAGCACAAAAACTCATTGTGTAGCAAAAAAAAACTGAGTGGAAAGAAAACACGATGATTTGAAGCAGGTCAAKGCTACAAACATTTATTTATTTTTCTTTTAGATTTCACTTAGAACACATTCATCAACTTGAGGTTGAAGGAAATCAGTTTTTGATTTGACTTATCTAACTCAATTAGCTATGCTGTCATTTAAAAAAGCAAAACTTGACAGAATCTCCATCTGCTCAGTTGGAGAAAATGTTTTAACAAAAATGATAATTTTATCCTAAATTTGTATAAAAATAATTGAGGTTTATGCATAAATCAGTGTTTTAACACTTCATTTTTGGAGTAGTTACTTTAGACCAGACCACATCTCTAGTGTGCAGACTGTTCCAAATACACAACTTGGCAGCTTCTGTGAACCAGGTTCTGCTGGCCTTAAAGTCCAACAGTGAGAGAAGGCAGAAACACAGAAAAGGTGTGTACATGTGCACAAAATCTGTAAAATCATTAAAAGAAATCACTTGATAAAAAYTTATTTACAAAAAGAATTCTTTACAAAAAAATAAAACCAAGCACCATACCCTGATTTCTGCTGCTGCCCTATCCTTCTGGACTTCTCTTCCTCAAAAAGTCAGGAACTCTAGCTCTTTKTTCAGATCACTACTCAAAACTCATCTATTCAACCTGGCCTACCCACCAAAATCCCCTTTTTTTCTTGTGAAGAGTCTGAGTATCCTAGTAAGTGCTATATATATTTGATGTATTATTATTTATATTGTTATTAAACAGATGTAGCACTTGGCTTCAACTTAAGATGTTGGTTTTTAATGTTTTTATTGTTTTTTAAATTGTTTTTGAAATGTGTTAATGTTAAATTTTTATTCCTATTTATTTTATTTGCGTTTTTGATTCTTTTAGTGTACAGCACTTTGGCCAATAGTGTTGAATTTTTGAAGTGCTTTAGAAATAAATTTGTATTGTATGAAAAAGTAAACTGCCGAAGGTAAATAAGCTGCTGAATTCAAAAGAAAAACTTTGATACACCTTCAGAAAGTCTGAAAAACCACTGATCAAGATTGCTTTAACTGATCACAAAACGCCTGCTTGGAATAAAAATTATATTTTCAAATAATTTTGACACAAATAGGAGGAAGAGCATTTTTTACCTTCAGTTCATCTGCATCATAGAAGCTGACATGAACAGATGGGATCATCCAGGACTGGAACAGGGAGCTCAGGATGTGATTGGCTACTGTGTCTGTGATGAAGTGAAAGTGCAGAGGATTTCTCCTGAAAATGAACAAAAGACAGATTCAAGTCCAATTATTTAAGATCCCAAAATGACCACATGGTGACTTTACAATCAAACATTATAATTTCATCCTTAAGCTGAAATTCTTTCTAGAATCTTGCAGATAAAATATAACTCCAGAGCTAAAGCTGGTTCAGAAGACCTGCAGAATTTTAAAACACAGTTAGGGAATCAGCGGCCTCAGAGGATGCTCATTCAGTTGTTCAGTTTTGTAGAAAAAAGCAGATCACAGACATGACACAAAACTCATTTGAACAAAAATATCAAGGAACTCTGTGTCCCTTGCCTGGACATAAGTTATTGGGCCCCACCCTGGAGCCAGGCCTGGGGAAGAGGCTTGTCTGTGAGTGCCTGGTGGCCAGGTCTCTACTAGTGGGGCCCAGTCAGGCTCAGCCCAAATGAGCTACACGAGTTTGTCTTCCTGTGGGCCCATCACCAGCAGGAGGAACCGTATGAGTTGGGAGCACAATGAAAAAAAGAAGGGATCTTGGTGCTCTGACCCTGGCCTACCAAAGCTGGCTCTTGGGACATGTAACTTCACCTCTCTGATGGGGAAGGAGTCTGAGCTTTTGTGTGAATTTGAAAGATATCAGCTACAGTGGGGTGCAAAGCTTTGGGCAGCCTTGTTAACTTTTCTGATTTACCTTTATAAATCATTGATCATTTGGATAAAAAAATCAGTAAAATATATCATAAATGGGACAAACACAGTGATATTTGAGAAGTGAAATGAAGTTTATATGATTTACAGAAAGTGTGRAAWAARTGMTTWAACAAAATTAGGCAGGTGCAWAAATTTGGGCACTGTTGWCATTTTATTGATTTCBAAACCTTTAGAACTAATTYTTGGAACTCAAATTTGGTTTGGTAAGTTCAGTGACCCTTGACCTCCATACACAGGTGACTCCAATTATAAGAAAGGGTATTTAAGGGGGCAAATGTAAGTTTATCTCCTCTTTGCATCTTCTCTGAAGAGTGGCAGCATGGGAGTCTGAAAACAAGTTTCAAATGATCTGAAAACAAAGATTGGTCACCGTCATGGTTTAGGGGAAGGATGCAGAAAGCTATCTCAGAGATTTCAGCTTTCAGTCTCCACTGTGAGAAACATTGTGAGAAAATGGAAGATCACAGACACAGTTCAAGTCYAGGCTTGAAGTAGCAGACCAAGAAAAATCTCCAATAAGCAGAAGCGAAGGATTTTGAGAACAGCCAGAGTCAACCCACAGACCAGCACCAAAGACCTACAACATCATCTTGCTGCTGATGGAGTCACTGTGCATCATTCAAATATTCAGCACACTTTACACAAGGAGATGCTGTATGGAAGAGTGATGCAGAGGAAGCCTTTTCTCCACCCACATCACAAACAGAGCTGCTTGGGGTATGCTAAAGCACATCTGGACAAGCCAGCTTCATTTTGGAATAAGGTGCTGTGGACTGATGAAACTAAAATAATTATTTGGGCAGAACAAGGGCTGTTATGCATGGAGGAAAAAGAACAGCACTCCAAGAAAAACACCTGCTACCTACAGTAACATGTGGGGCTGGTTCCATCATGCTGTGGGGCTGTGGGACCAGTACAGGGACTGGGAATCTTGTTAAAATTGAGGGACGGATGGATTCCAACCAATARCAGCAGTTTCTGGAGACCAATGTCCAGGAATCAGTGACAAAGCTGAAGCTGCTGAAGCCGGGGCTGCATCTTCCAACAAGACAACCACCCTAAACACTGCTCAAAATCTACTAAGGCAGCATGARGGCTCAGTGGTTAGCACCAACGCCCCACAGCAACAAGGTCCTGGGTTCGATCCCCAGTTCGGACCTGGGGTCTTTCTGTGCTGAGTTTGCATGTTCTCCTCGTGCTTGCATGGGTTTTCTCCGGGTACTCCGGTTTCCCCCACCCCCCTAAAACATGTAAAATAGGTTGCCTTCAGGCCCAGGCCACCCTTGAAAAAGAGATCTAAGATCTCAATGGGACTTGCCTGGTAAAATAACGGTAAATAAAAAAAAATATTAAGGCATTCATGCAGAGGAACAAGTACAACGTTCTGGAATGGCCATATCAGTCCCTAGACCTAAATATCATTTAAAATCTGTGGTGTCACTTAAAGAGAGCTGTCCATTCTCAGAAACCATCAAACCTGAATGAACTAGAGATGTTTAGTAAAGGAGAATGGTCTAAAATACCTTCAGCCACAATCCAGACTCTCATTAGAAGCTATGGTAAATGGTAAATGGCTTGCACTTATATAGTGCCTTATCAAGTCCACGTGGAACCCAAGGCACTTTACACTTCAGGCATTCATCCATGCACACACACATTCACATGCTATAGGAAGCATCTAGAAGCTGTTATTTCTGCCAAAGGAGGATCTACTAATATTGAGTTGCTTTTTTGGTGCCCAAATTTATGCACCTGCCTAATTTTGTTTAACCAATTATTGCATACTTTCTGCAAATCATATCAACTTCATTTCACTTCTCAAAAATCACTTTGTCCCCTATATGATATATTAAACTGATATTTTTTTATCCAAACAATCAGTGATTTATAAAATTAAATCAGTAAAATTAACAATACTGCCCATATGTCCTGATGCATCTCAGTAATCCAGGTAAAAAACCAAAAGGAAAAAAAATTGTATAGGTCCTCTGGACGGGTTCTTCTTTAATGAAACGTTTCGTCTCTCTTCCAAGAGACTTCTTCAGTCTGAGAGTTTCAGGCAAAATTCGGGCTTTTGAGTCCTGCCTCCAGGTGACTGATACTCACATCACATGGCTATCGTTCACACCTAATTAACACCTGTGGAGTGATACTGCCAATGGCAGCGCTGTAGGAGGGGGACAACTGAAAACGAAGGCCTCCACCTCTGTTTAATGATGGACGGTCTTTCTTCACAAAAACGCCTTTTTTTACTCCTCTCTCAAACCAACGTTCCTCTCTATCAAGAATGAGAACATCCTCATCTCTGAAAGAGTGACAGCTGGCCTGTAAATGAGTGAAAACTGCAGAGTTCTGGCCATACTTTCACAACCCACTGTATATATAGTTGGGCTCACCTCAATGCACAGCTTAGGCTCCAGAACCAATCTCCCCAAGAGGGGCTGGACATTATTCTACTCTGGAGTTGCCCATGGTGAGAGGTGCCAATCTGGTGTAGGTCTACTTTTGGCCACCCAACTTGACTGCAAGTTGGAGATTTCCCAGTAGATAAGAGGGTAGCGTCCTTGCACCTTTGGGGTGGAGGGATGTGCTCTGATAGTCATTTGTGCCTACGCACTAAATGACTGTTAGTATCCAGCTTTTTTGGAGTCTTTAGCATGGGTGTATTGTACTCCAGCTGGAGATTGCTTTATTCTGCTGGGGTCAATGTTCACATGGGTAATGACAATGTGACCTAGATGGGCTTGACTGGGAGGAACTGCCTCCCACTCAGAACCACTGATGTTCTGCTACTGATTTTCTGTTTTAGTCAAAAACCCTGCTCAAACATAAGGGTTTCCTAACCGCATTTCAGATTACCCATCCTTTTTGGAGGACTTGGAAGGGGTTAACCCTAATCTAACCCTAGGCATGGGAGGAGTTCAGAGAGGTAATGGAGAACAACTTCTGAACATTTATGTTAACCCTAACCTTCAACTGTCCCAATGGGCCTTACCAGGATAAAATACATTTTTCAAAAGCAAAAAACCTATTCAGTTCCCAGGATGCCTTGATTCATCTGCCAGCTCCAAAACATTAGCTAGAAATGGACCCAAGATAAAAAGCAGACTCACCTGTGAAAGAGGACAGACTTGACAAGCGTGATCACATCTCTGGTGGCGTTGTGACCGGCACAAACACAAGCTACATGGATCAGCTGCAGAAACACAGAAGAAGCTGTAAGTTTTAGCAGTACCCATCCATGTATTTATTTTGTTGAAGTAAAAATTTAGATTTTTTGAACAGTTTGTTTACTTTTGTTTTTCTCACTTGAACTCTCAGAGTTGAACAAGTCACTTAACAAATGACTTAAACTACTCAAGCATTAATAATCCAATTTTGACATCAACACAGCTGTATTATGTTTTTTAACTGGGCTTGAGATGCAGGTTTACTTGTGGTTCCTGGAGTTTCTAAAAGTAGAATTGGGAGGCAGAGATTTCAGTTATCTGTTATGATKGMGTGAGTGAGCTCTGAATTAGTTCCGAACACAGATAAAGGTTTAACAAGTTTATTGTTAGAATTTGCAATTGGAGGTCGAGAACGGGATTCGGGCAGCAGCAGGTCTGCACACAGAGATGGGAAGTTAGGTTGGCACAACAAGATT